CTGCAACAGTGCCAAAAGGTCGTTGCTGTACAGAAGCAATGACGTCCTCGTCTTGTTGCTGTGTTGTCCGTCGTGGTCGGCGATTTTCCTTGCGATGATCATGCAATGCATGATCACCGTTTGCAGTAAATTGCTGTATCCATCTGCGAACTGTCTTCGTAGAGCAGGGAATATCAGCAGCAATATCTGCTATTGATCTCCCAGACTGCCACTGTCCAACTATGCGACCTCTCACTTCGGGACACAAATTTCTATACATGACTTTATGCGCACCTACAGAAAGTCAGGAAAGAGAACGGATCGCCTTTCGCGAGTTGTATTTATATGATTCAGAGAAAAGCGTCTGCTCAGTTTCCACAAATGAGCGTTCGTTTATGTTTATGTATTGCATCGCATTGGTTGCACGTTATGTTGAATATATATATCGACGCGCGAGTTCGCTTAGGCGTGCGCACGTTTCTTAGAACATGAGAAAACGGACGATTCTTTCGTTTGTTGTTTTTCACGTGCGTCGATATATATATTCAATGTAGTATGCGACCAATACGATATAATACATAAACATGCTTTCCGTCCGCGAACGAAAAAAAGCGGACGATGATAGTAGAAACGGGTCGCATTTTTGTATCCATAGTAATAAGGAACAATAATTATTTGAAACAGGCGCAAAAATCGGCCCTTTTTAGAGTCACCAAATTTTATAACGATGGAACGATACTCGAACGCATAAAATATGAAATAATTATATCTCGCGTGTTTATGCAACAATAAAATTAAAAATACTCTTCTTCGATCGACAACCTACACAAACGTTATATTGTTGCAACATATTCTATGTTGGTTCAGAATTCTATATTAAAATAAATCTAATATTTATTTTTTTTTCAAGAGTAGCTATTAAGAAGCATTTGTCAAAGCCTCCTAAAAACCTTTCCCCAAGATTTTTACATTACAGTAATTTCCTTGCTAACAATGAAAAATGCATGAACGTTCGAGCGAGCGAAACAGTCGTCGGGACACCGCGTATTGCTCACGTATAGACGAGACAGTGTGAGTCAAGCGTTTTCTTAGTGTGTGTCACACGTATTTTAGGACGGCATTTCTGTCCAGACGTCTTATAATGCTATTTCTCTCGTTCTTACGTTTGCGATAGAGGATGGAAGATCGCCGCGACTCCCACCACTATTCCCTCTCCAAGCGTCCGACGATCGTATACCGCTAGCTCCCTCCGCCACTCCGTGCTGCTCATGGCTCACCTACACGCAGCAGTGTATGAGTGACGCGTTATCGTGTGCGAGTCACACGGATATTCGGACGGCATTAACGCCGGTGCGTGTACATAAGGCAATACAGCATTGCATATTTCAAATGTTGCATCTTTTGAAAGCCTATTAAACATATACTTTAAAAAGTGTTCATTTCTAATGTATTTGATTATTAATATATATATATATATATATATATATATATATATATATATATATATATATATATATATATATA